GCAGTGCTTCCGAGCGCAGCAAACGGCTCCGCGGAGGGAGCGGGTTACTCCTTATGGTGAGGCGACTGTAGAGAGGAGCTGAGCGACGCCCAGCCCGCCGTGCCGCAGCCGCAGCCAGTTCAGTCCGAGCCGAGAGTCAGCGCGGAGCGTATACCGAGCGCGCAACGAAAACCGAACAGACACCTCCTCTGCAGATGAAGAAGATGTTGATGACCCCAACCCCAAAGCCCCTTCCATAGTCAAGCCTGTCACACCTTTTGATCTATGTAAGATAGATAGTTCTAAGGTCTCTTCTGCTCCACCAGTCATTGATGTAAATGAGCTGGACACTTTGTGGGAAGCAAAGGTGTGCTTCTATTGAAATTTACAGAAATCATCTTTATTTTAGTCACCATGTCTTCTATCTTCATTTGCTATTGCCTTGTTACAGTTTTCTCAAAACATTGATGAGAGGGATCAGGTGGTAGCCACATTCGACCGGTACCAGGTCAGGAATAGAGACTTGTTCACTCTGAATGAACACAAGGAGTTGAATGATCAGGTTTGTATTTTATTAATTTATCAGTTGCAATTATATCTAACTCTTGACTTATAGTATTTTGTAATATGCAATGTACCTAATTGACTGAATTACTTTGGCAGATCATTAATGTGTACACAAAGCTACTTCAAGCGTATCAATTTGCACACGGGATTAAGGTATTCGCCTTGAGCACGTTCTTTTACTGTAGCCTTCTCAAAGGATCACATTTTGCAGTATCGAGATATACAAAAGATGTATGTACAATTCAAATTGTACTTAGAGAATGAGCTGTCAGTGATGTAATGTTAATTTTGTATTTAACTTTGCTCAGGTGAATATTTTCCTAGATTATCATTTTGTCACTGTGCCCATCCACATCAAAGAAAAGCATCACTGGGCTTTGGTTGTGATTGACATTCAGAGAAAACTTATTCAATATTTTGACAGTATGTTGTGGACTGGGACAGCACACACAAGGGTAGGCGGTTTAAAAATTTATTTGTGCAGCCTTTTTGATTCTCATTAGTCTGATCATGGTCTTATATATTTCATTTTTGACAGGCTATTCTGGAATATCTAAAGGCAGAGGCTGCTGCTCGTCTCTTTTCATTTGATGAAACTCAGTGGAAGAGAAGAGATATGAAGGTGAGAGAGGCATTATTCAATCAAATTTGATTCCCATTAACTGCATATGAATTCTTTTATGGTCCGTATTTTTCTTGCAGGGAGTCCCACAGCAAGTTAATAATGTAACTGATTGTGGTGTTTTCACCTGCTGTTACTCATATTTTGCTACTACTCCTCCTGCCAGTGGACGTGGAGCCTACTTGGAGTGGAAACGTAGTGCACATTACGTTGACCCTTTCACCCAGACAGATATTCCTGCGATCAGGCAGCAGATGAAGGATGACATAGTCAGCGTGCGATTCATTCCTCCCCTGTCTTCACCTAGTACTGCCTCTATTATTATCCCTCCACTCTTGCCACCTATTGTGAAAAATCAGAGGAAAAGAAAGGAACCCACAGCCAAAAGGAGCCAGTCGCCGACTAGGAAAAAAACGCGAATTCAGTGTCCATCTGCTGTTAAGATACCCCGATTCACTAAGAAAGTTGACGAGAACAAAGCCACTACTACAGATGGGGTCTACTTAGTGACAAGTGCCCATGTGCATTTAAGGAGTGCAAACTTCAAAAATGCCAACAATTGCCAGGGCTTGTATGTCTATTCAAGTCTCATTGCTTCTAGAAGTATTCAACAAGAAAAAGCCAGCTTCTCAACAGAGCAATTGGATGTGTTAATGTTTGCTGGTTACCAGCAATTTCAGGAGGCTGGAATGCTGTCAAATGTATTTCCATCTCAAGTTCTTGTATCTGGTCAATTGGTATCTTTAAAGTCCTGTGTCATATTGAGTGGACAATATTGTGCTACAGGTCGTGTTAAGGCCATGGCTGAGTTTCTTGATGGCATTAGTCCGGAAGAATCTCAAAACTGTAGTTTTGTTCTACAAGGTCATGGTCGGTCGGTTTGCTTTTGGCAAACTGAAGGTGGCAGGTATTTTGTTTTCAATGCTCATTGTGTTGATATTAACAATGTCGTTTCAGCCAAATCTGGTGCTGCTAGACTCTACCGATGTATGTCATCTCTTGCAGTTGGCAACTTGGTTTTTAAAAATGATGTCCACGACCTATCTACATATGAATTGTATAAAGTTTATTGTGTCTAATATTACCAACTGTGTGCCTGTGTTACCTTGTATTATATCCTCGTTAGCAAGGCTGTGAAGTATTTCAATTTTATTTCATTATGTATTTATCATTGACAAATATTTTGAGTTTTATGAACTTCTTTGTTCTAGTCTAAAAAGTTTATTTCATTTCTTTGTATCTAATATACAAACTAGTCATTTCTCATTATCAATTGCCCCATACTATTTTGCTTATATTTTCAATGACTGCCTCACGTACAATGTGTGACAAATTATGTTATTATTATTATTATTTTATTTTTTGGCTGAGCGATTAGAGAAGCCTATTACTCCAGTGATGATCAAAAAGTTTCGCGGCTGTCTGTCTGTGTGTCTGTCTGTCTGTCATCGCGATAACTCAAAAACGAATTGAGCTAGTTATATCTGAATGTGTTATGAACTACTGTATTATCACATGTCATGTGTGACAGTTTATGTTATCTGAATGTGTTATGAACTACTGTATTATCACATATCATGTGCGACAGTTTATGTTATCTGAATGTGTTATGAACTGCACTGTATTATTTATATTTTTTCAATGAATGCCTCACATTTGGTCTGTGAGAAATGATTTTGTCGGAAATACTTCTTTTTTGACGAACAGTTTTTACTTGTGTATTTTCTTATTTAGTAGATGTTGATTGTTCAAATACACATTATTTCATCCTCAATTACTGCGTTTTCTTCCCAATCACCTAGAACTCAATAGACATTCTTGTCTTTTACGTGTAAATGTCAAAACATTTACTGTACCATAGGAACAAAACTAAAGGTACTTTGACTAGGCAGCTGGCTTTTGAAGGATGTCGAGATGGTTCACTTTCGTAAAACTTCTGACACTGGTACATTAGGGGGATAAGGAGAAAATATCGAAAACTACATCTCAAAACAGCACGTCAGTGTCCCTTTCACATCACCATGGAAGATGGAAATAAAGAAAATGGTGTACAAACTGGCTGCACAGTGCTCATCTCTGTACATTCCTGATTCCTGTAATGTCCATATTGTGTGATGACATGTTTTCTGTTCCTTAAAAACCGATAACGAAAATGGTGCGTTTGGTCATGGTTTGGTTCTCTGTTGACATCGTCATCTATGAGGAGGAATAAAACATTATAATTTTATGTGGATACAGGTATATCCAGTGCTCAACTTAAAATTGTCGGCATTCGTTTGGTCATTGTTTTATCGCTTTCCGATACAGTAATTTGATTGTTAACCCATCACGTATATATGGACTATTTTTGTGCGCGCAGTGCTTCCGAGCGCAGCAAACGGCTCCGCGGAGGGAGCGGGTTACTCCTTATGGTGAGGCGACTGTAGAGAGGAGCTGAGCGACGCCCAGCCCGCCGTGCCGCAGCCGCAGCCAGTTCAGTCCGAGCCGAGAGTCAGCGCGGAGCGTATACCGAGCGCGCAACGAAAACCGAACAGACACCACCCGCCGCCGTGCCCGACCCCATCGCGGAGTGCAACAGCGTGTCGTGACAGTAGTAGTGCAAACCACACCGCCGCCACCATGTCGGCCGGACTCAGTTGCGGGAGTAGCGTCATCAAGTACCTTCTGTTCATCTTCAACTTCGTCTTCGCGGTGAGTTTTTCCGTCCTTTTTGGACGCGAGTATGGCGCTCGTTGTTGATGCGGGTTTCCATGGCGGCGGCCGCCGCGCGCTCATGGCCCTCATGGCGTGGCCATTATCTAGCAGCACTGTTAAAAAAAATTGTAAATTTATCACACCCTTTGTAATGACTAGTGTGTTAAAAAAATATCATCGTTCGTTTTTATTGGCACGTGGCAAAATTCCTTCTACTTTGCCCGCAGTGGTCCATAACAATGATTCCCACGTTTCACCATGTTGTAAAACCACAACAATATCGTTGTAAAGTTTGATAGCAAGATGTATCGTCACAGAACAAACAAATTTGTTTTATTACAATTTTTTTGGTGCAGACGAAAGTAAATGACCACTATTTTGGAATGAAAATTCGTTTCAGGAAATTTGGTGAATGTTGTTGGATTACAACATGTGTTGTTTTTCAACAACATTTGTTGCTATCAAACTTTACATCAAATGTGTTGTAAATTTACAACAAAATTTTTAACAGTGAGGTGTGTTTCCGGCCGGTGTGCGTCTCTGGGGGGAAAGAGGGGGAGGCGGAGGCAGGAGGAAAATGTTGTAAAATGTGACCGCGGCCGCGGGCTCCTCGGCTTCCTCCCCGCGCAGATACGCCCCCACGCATGCCTGCCTCGCAGCCTCGCGGTTAGCAGCAGCGGTCGTCAACAACAATGGCTAGACACGCCCACCCCACACCCTTGGCGCAGCTTCGCTGTTCGTCGCCAGCTAGAGGAAGGCCCCCATGTGAGCTGGCCGCTGCTGGCTTGCCCGGCAACCACGTAACAATATGTGGTTCGAAAAAAGTTTTTGTTTGCTCCGTCCGGCATTCCCCGTTGATGCCTCGCCGCGGTGCAGAGAATGTCACGACTACTCCGTACTCAGTGTCGCCACCGGCTTTGTTCGCCGCCCCGTCCTGCTTCTGCCGGGTCTGTCGCAACGCTGTGTCGCGTTCCGATTGAAATCTCTTGGTAGTTAATCCAGTCCACCCTGGCTGGAAATCGCTCGCGTTTGTTCAAGGTGGACCGACTGGGCCGGCGGCTGAGCGCTCGTCGTAGCGGCAGAGCAGCGTCGTCAAGACGAAAGAAGGCGTCCCCCTTCCCCCATTCCCCCTCCGGCTTATCCCCCTCCCCCCTCTCTCCGGGGCCCGGCTTCCAGACGACTTGCTGGGGATTCTTCGTGTCCTTGAAGAGGCAAAGGTTACGACAAGGAAGGGGAAGCCGGTCGGCCGAGCCCGGGCCGAGGAAGTTATTACTGGAGCGGCCTGGACACGCTGCTCCTGGCGCTGGAGCCGCCCCAGGCCGGCGCGTCGGCTCAAAACAAAACCACGAGGAGCGGCCGGGCCGCGCATCGGATACGCCCCCTACTCCCCCCCCCCAAATCAGTCTTGATTCCAGCAGGTGTATACTCCCCCTCTCCGGTCGCCGGTGCTCAATCGAATTCGAATAATGGTTTTACGACCGAGCTCAGCCGGGCCGGCTCGTAGGGCCAGCCAGCGGGTACTGTGTGAGGGCTGCCGAATGCGGGGGTCTGGGTTGCCTTTCTGATAGTCGTGAATCGCACGCGTCGAAGATCTCGCCGCTCTGCCACCGCCCTGGCAGCCAAAGGTCATATCTCCTCCCGAGAAACCTGCCGTGGTACCCTTTGCCGATGACCCCCGCCGGCCGGGCCGCGCGACGCGGCGGTCGATTCGAACCCCTCGGTCGGCATTGATTAGCACCGAGGGTTATTCGCGTTCCCATTCACACAGGCCAATTATTCGATAGCAACAAAGGAGACGCCCTTTCCTTTCGCGAACCGGGAGGCGCTTTGCCTCGAGTGTCGCTGGCATCGTAAACAAACCGCTGCCTATTTCCGAGCCCGTTTGCCGTGCCATGCCGTGCCGTGCCTATCTCGCTCCGGTCTGGTGGTTGCGCCAGCAGCAGGCAATGGTGTGGTGTGCTCTGTGCTGCTAAATAGTGTCGTGGACGGGCCCGGTGCCGCCGCGGGCGCGGGCTGCTTCAACAGGTGCTCTTGCTCCTACCGGCGGCGGGGTGCGGGGCGGCGGGGCGCGGGAGGGACACCGCGCAGAGCACTACCATCGCGCTGCATGCACAACCCCCTCTCCTCCCCCTCTCTCCCCCCAGGTTACCGTGGAACCGGCGAGCTGCTGAGCCGCGAGCTCGCCTTTGCCGCTCCGTTCCCACGCTCAGCTCGCACACATCCTGGTTCAGGACGACGACGACGACGTCGCCGTGGCCCGCTCGTTGGCGCGCCGCATATGTGTGTCGGACGTCGTTGACCCGATGCGGTGTGTGCCACCCCTTTGAGGATGCTCTAGAAGTGCACGAGGAGGGCTGGTCTGGTCGATGCAACCCTCCTCGGTTCGGCCTCCTTCGCGACCCCCGCGGGGCTGCGGCGCCCATGCGGCCGAGTTGGTGTGGGGTGAGAGGAGGCACTGCCACGCCCTGCCACCGCACCTCCCCATCGGGGATATCGACGTGCTTGGTGGTGGTGACCCAGGAAGGCAAACACCCCGAGTAGTGATTTCGGAGAAAGCCTTTCTGGCCGCCGCTTCAGCCGCTCTTCGGCCCGCCGGGGGGCCCGGGGCGCGGCGTGCTAACTGGGAGATGACTGCGCCGCTGTTAGCGCGTCGGTCAGAACGAGCTGCTCATTCCTAAACGAGCGTCGCACGAGCCGGAGCCACACTGCGTCGAAAGTGCAAATAGGGTTATCCCACACGACGAAGGGGCCATCCTGTCCTTATTGGGCACCCGTGCCTCGGCTAACGTGGTCCGAAAGTCGGAAATCACCACGTTACTTGTGTCGTCCATTTTTTTTTCTCTTTATTGTCAGACGAGTTTTCATCCCTGACACCCGAACGAGGTGCGCGGGGCGGGCCGCTTGTAAGATGACGGATTCCTTTCTCTTTCGGGCCGATGTCTCTCCCAGGATGGACCGCGCCGGGTCGAGTCGGGCCACTTTCCCCCATGCGGTGTGGTAGTACGCCCGGTGTGCGGTACGCCCGCGGCACAACCGCACCGAGCGGCAACGCCCTCGGAACACCCGCTCGCCCCACCATGTGACATGGAGTCACTGCAAGTGTCCGGGCGTTCTTCTTACTCGTGAGGATGACTCCTCAGAGAGGCTCGCGGCCGGCAGAGGCGCGGCGCGGTGACTGGTTCTCCGGTGTCGTGTCGCTTCTTCCAGACGAGTTGACGCCGCATGAGGCGCGGTGCGGATGGAGCCGGTGGCGACGGCCAGGCGGACAACGCGCGAGGACCGTGGAATACCAGAATAACCGATACCCACGGCTATCGCACCTAGAAGGTCACGCCGGGGCTTGCGTCGTGAGATAGGTATTGTTGGAATGCCGTGTCAACGACCACGTGACCCCGGGGGCGGCAGCGCAGCCGTCACCGCCAGAGCCGCGGACGCGGACGGCGCGTAGGTGCGGTGCAGCGCCCGCCGGAAACGGCCGCCCAGCCCCGGCCAATCTCGCTTGGCCCGCGCCGCACCTTGAGTCGTCCCGCCTCGGACGGCCGGAAGCTGCCCCACCCGCGGCGTCGGCGTCACCCGGGCCGCCAGGCTAGAAGGATATCGGCGACTTGAACTGAACCTTACTCGGGTTGGCCGCAGAGCACAGCCACAGCAGCAGGCGTCGCCGGGCGGCAATGTTGATACCCCCCATGATGTGCTAAACGTGTCGCATTCAACTCATCTGGTTCCGTGTTTGAAACTTTTGTTTTACTTATTACCTTCGGGTCCCGCTATAGCGCGATTCAGTGCAATGCCCTATCGATTTCTCGAGATGAGTTTGGCTGTCGCGGCGTGGCCGAACTTGCGCCTCTCTCTTCTCCCTATCCCGTCCCAGCAGCACGCGCCTTCGCCCATGCGCGCCGCTGCCGCCGAAAATAGCACCTCCCCGTCGTCATCCGGAGCCCCCAAATGATGCTTGCTCGGCGCCACGCCCTCCCGCGGGACGGAGCAGACAGTGTCATTTCTATCTCGGTGACCCCGGCCGCTGCCGCCGACACGCACGCGGGCGGGCGGGCGGGCGGCTCCGGCCGCGGGCCGCGGGCCGTGGGCGGGGCGGGGCCCACCACCTCCTCGCATTCTTATGCAATAAGTTTTTTCGAGCCGGTTTCCACTCTCGCTGTCGTGGCGACCGGTTACTTTGGCTCGGCCGGCCTGCCAGACTCGCTGGTTCGATGAGTTCCACTGCCAGAAATAGTACACATGTGCCGTTTGCTTCGAGGAAAATTGCCCATGCTCCTCCTGTCAACATATGACACTACCGTTTTTCTCCCTGAATCAAACAAGTGATCCCGTCGGACTTAAAGAATCGAAATAATTCTTGATGGTTGATAGCTAGGCTTGACCCTCGTGCCTCACCAATGCGTTGCTTCTCTCACCCCCGTGTGCGGTGCCTGCCTCAGCGCCGCGCTTCCACGCGCACCGGATGAGTCGCCTCCAGGTCGAATTGATTATCTGCGGTGCTCCGTGCCGTGGGATCGGCTGGGCTGTTAGTACTCCACAGTATACTGAGGAGTTTGGTGGACTGCTTCACTCCGGCCCGGGGCCTCAAGTGGCGGAACGTCCGTCTATTTTAGAGCAGGCTCAGAAATATTCTCATCCCACCACTTATTCCGTATTCAAACCAACATTACAACCATAACAACAACCATACATTTACATCGAGGATCCCCTATGATTGTTATCAATTGTCAAAGGAATCGTTCAGAAAGAACTACGTTCGCCGTCGCCGTTACCAACCGGTCAAGCTCGCAAAGCGCCTGGTGGGTAGACAACATCTTGCCTGCAGTGCATGCGTGTACTGCGGGGCGGCCTACCTTGAGTCTCGCAGGCGCCGAGCCGAGCTCCCGTAATGCATAATGTGCCGAATGAATCTGAGGAAAACTGACGTAGTTTCTGGACGATGCCACCCCCACCCCCCCACCCCACCCCCTTTTATTATTTTTTTCCAATGAGCTCGGCACAACCTGCCGGGGACGCGGTGCACCCCGCTGCACCACGTCGACCGCCTGCCTGCCCGCGCGGCAACGCTGTGCTGCCGTGACGTGCCGGGCCGGCCACTGTAGTGAACAGACTTGGCTTTTGCCTGCCCAGACCATTCTCCGAGTGGTGCTTGCCTCTGCTCTAATTTTGAACAGTCATAAACCGCCCGCGCGGTGCGGGTTTTCGTGTCCACTGACTAGACTATACTCGAGGCGCCGCCCAACGTCTCAAATAATAGGTTTTTCCGTCGGACCGAAAAGAACGTTCCCGAGGATGAACAACTGATAATATTTTTGGGCGCACATGTGCTGTTTTTATGAGACGTTCTTTCGAGCACGCCGCCGAACTTATTTCCCTGTGCTCACGGCTCGGGTGCGCGGGCAGGCAGAGGGCCCCAGGCCCGCCTCGACACGTCTTTGCACAGGTGGTCGCTCTGCCCGATGTCCTCTGCCCCGGCCTTCCTCGGCCTCGCGGTGAGTCTCGCCCCCCGGTCCCATACGTGGCACTCGTGTGACGACGCGGCGTCTCCCGCCGTCACGCCCGTCACCGTACACCGCGGTGACTCACGCTACCTTTGCGCTGCGGGCGCCTCGATGAGTCACGCTTCGTCACGTGACGTAAACGCTCCCGCTGGACCGCCGCGGTTGCCTCCTGCCCGCGCGGCCGCGACGCTGAGGTTCACGCCGCCTCGCCTGCCGAGTGTTTCGGGACGGCGGCGGCGTGTGTTGTTGCCTGGCGTGCTGCCCAAAAAACCACCACCACCGAAACGCTCCCCGTTGATGCTCAAATCCTTCCCGCGCGTGTATTTGCTTCTGCTAGTCTGATTGAACGCAGCTGCCGGGCTGGACCGGGATGCTGCTATCCAATGCAGATAGGCATGCGCACAGGAGGAGTCGCTGAGCCGCGGAGCCTCCGCGGTGCATTGTGCGGTACAGGGTCATTCCCCGCTGAGGAGGGGGGGGGGAGTGCCCGAGCTTGTCCTGTACGGCACTCCCACGCACTCGACATCTCTCCCTCTCACTTGCTCACTCGGCTCGGGTTAACTGACAACAACGACGACGTGTTCGTTCGCCCGCGGGCCAGCCGCGCCCTGCTGCTGCTGGGGCAGCTACTTGTGCAGCTGCGGAATGCTCTCTGCCCTCGCGGGATCATGAGGCTCCCCGACGTCGCGTGTTCCCCGAGCAACACCGAGGCTGATCGAGCGGGCGCCGTCGTGTGGAAAACCTTGGTCCAGTAGTAAAGTCACCGCAAGTCACGGGGCTTTCGGTTTGTTTTTCCTCGCATCGCCTACTTCCAGTCTCTCGCCTCTGATGCTGATGGGCGCGTAGGCGAGTGTTTGACCGGCGTCGTCGCGCACGAGAACGGGTTGGTATATGGCGTGAGCTTCCCCAATTTTGGAGGGCGAGTCGCTAAGTCCCCGACGAGGTGGCCGCCGCCGGCGTATGGCCTGTGTCAATTGACTGTGATGATGGGCTGCGACAGCCTGGCACGGGCAACGCCGCGGCCGCGGCTTTGGGTAGATGGATGGATGGAACACTTTCAGTTTTAGCACTGCCATCAACGACCGCAAAATGCTTGTTTCCTGCTGTTCTCCCTCATTTTTTTCTTCCACCCCAGAAACAGTAAAAACCAGGCGGAGACGCTCGTCTAGTTCGATCGAACCGCTCCGAGGCTGGGCCTGGGCGTAGTAACGTAAGGACTTCCCCCTCTCCCTCCCCAGGCGTCTAAAACTGTCTGAAATGGTTTCTTTGTGCTGAAGCCGCAGCCCCTCCCCCATTTTACGCCGGAAAAAAACTACCGTAGTTTCAGCAGTCGGCCCACATTCCACGTGAGGAGGCATCAACCTCCAACGAACTGTGGCGCGTTTTCCCTTTTCCTTTTCTATACCTCCTAATTTCTTTCTCGCCTGTGGGACATGGAGGTGTTGAGGCCGGGGTTGGGGTGGGGTGGGGGGGATATTAAACAGCAATCTGGCCCCGGCTGGCTACGTTATGCCCTCGCCATGAGTTCCGCCCCCCCCCCTCGCCATGAGTTCCGCCCCCCCCCCCCCCCCCCCCTCCCCTCTCTTACGATCTGCACGTGCCACCCGCGCCTCCCATGATGGCAGCAAACCAGCAGAGCTGCGCGAGCTGCGCCGCGGTTGTGAAGCCGGCGAACACAACAACCGGCGGCCTGTTCTGCGCTGCGTTGTGTCGCCGCTCCCCAGAGCAGAGTGCGCGCCGCCGAGTGGCGGGCCGGGGCGGGCCGGGGCGGGGGCGTGGCGCCGCAGTGCCACTACCTCGGTGACATCACCCGCATCGCCAGGTCGGTCCGCGCCAACGAGGCTCGCGGGGGAGTGCCGGGCACGGGGCGCAAGCGACCGAGCGTGCAGAGTCTTTAGGTCCGTCATTTGCCGTTGTTACAAAACTGCACTAATTTTAGCCTTTCCGAGCTCTCATGACGCCTCGTAGGTAGGCAACATCTCGCCCGTAGGGCATGCGTGTCCTGCGTGGTGGCCTACCCCACAGCTCGCAGGCGCCGAACTCCCCTCATTTTTTGCCGAGAGAACCCCAGCAAAATGGTCGTACTTTCTTGACGAGCTCTTACTCCGCGCCCCGCCCGCGGCGCCACCGAGTTTGTTGTTGCCTGCCTCTCTTGCCGGAAGGAAGGGGAGGGTCTCGCCGCGCAGCAGAGAGGGTCTTGTGCGACCTTCACCCTTGCGGGACCTTTCGTTGCACGGCACTGCACTGCTGCCGCGCGTAACTGGACAGGACTTGTTGTTGGGGTCCGAGCTGCAGGCGGGGTGGAAACTCTTTTTTTGCTCTTGCTGATTTGCATAGGCCCGTGCCGCGCTAGGCCGGCAGTGAAGTAGGGACGAAGAGCAGAAGCATGCAGGGGCGTCCGTCTACATGAACCGGCGGCCCGGCAGGGGATCGTCCAGAAAGTACGGCCGCGTCCGTTTCCTCCGATTCCTTTTGAAAATTTACGGCAGCTCGGCGCCTGCGAGACTCGGGGTAGGCCACCCCGCAGTACATGCATGCACTACAGACAAGATCTTGGCTATCTACCAGGCGCTTTGGGAGCTCCCTGGGGCTGGACTTGGCAGCTTCGCAACGGCGAATGACGGACGTACTTTCTGGATGATCCCCCGAGCCGGCGCCATTGATGCGGCCTTCATGTTTGGCGAAGGGGTTGCACCGGCGGCAGGCGGGGGAAGGTGCGCGGTTGTTCACCCCGATCTGGTTGTTGCCGCGAACGGGAGGGACCTGGGGGGGGGGGGGTGAAGGGGCTTATCATATTGACCGGGCCCGACCCCTCCCCTCTGCACCTGTCCTAGGTCAGTGTGCCTCGCGCCGGGGGAGAGGGGCGGGACTTGCACACAGAGCCCTACATGTGCCCACATTTAGGGCCCTAGGACGCCGTACTCCTCCGCGCCTGGCCGACGCCGGGTCCGTCACGTCATAGCGCCGGTGCTCTGTAGTGGTGTCCAATGGTCGGTCGCTCGGCGTCGATGGGTGCCCATCGGGCGAGCGAGAGGGACGGAGCTAGTGGCCGGCTAGCGCGTGCGAGAGAGACAGCAGACAGGTGGAGTGGGGGGTTGACCGACCATTGGACATCACTAGTGCTCTGGCCCGATGCGTAATCCGCTCTGTACTGTACAGTCGCGCGCGTAGCCTGGTTGACCTTGGCGCCGGGCCCGGGCCGCGGGTGGGCCCGGGCCGGCCGCCGGCCGTGTCCAGGCCGCCGTAGAGCTATGCCCCTCCAACCTCCAAGGCTGACCCCCCGCCGCCCCCTTCCCGCGCGGGGCGTCACAGGCTTCTTATCCTCTTTGTATTCCGGTGAGGCGCGACTGGGTGCAGCTGAGCACGGCGCGTGAGGTTATGCCCCCTACCCCCTCCCCCTCCCCCTGTCAGTCCACCTTCACCACTCGAAAAATATGCTGAGACGGCGCTATAGATTTTCGTTAGCTATCCATATAGCTGGGAAACTGTTTCTCCTCTCTAAATTGAGCCACGCGGTGTTCCGATCCGAACGCCCGTTCCGTAGTGCCCGTTGGTATTGCCGCCACGCCCCACCACGGCCAAGGCCAGGCACCACGCAGCAGTGCTCTCGGTCACGTTTCCACCGTCGTCGTTCGCCGATGTGGAGCCCGACTTGTGTGGCGCGGCGGAGCTTCTAGTGAGGGGGTCTTTTAGGGCACAACATTTTACGAGATGACTCAAACTCAAGGGTACATCTGTTCTGTCCTTGAGCTCTAAACTGTGCGTGTGAACATTTGTCGGCGGCGCGCGCGGCATGTCGCCTAGCCACGCCCTTACACCCCACCCAACCACCCCACACTCCGTACCCCGCCCCACCCCACCCCACCTCGTTTCGCTGTTTGCCTGCCTTTTGGGGCTATCTCGTGCGTCGCACTCTCCTGTCCGAGTGGAAGTAGTGATTGTTCCCGTGCAGTATAGGCGACATCCTTTGCTTCGTTTGTGCATATTGCTCACGTGTTCATGAAAGTTGCAAACTGGGCCCGTCCCTTGGGCCCCGATTTGTTTTTGTGCAGTATAACATCGGTTTCTCATCCTCATTTCCAGCTATGCGGCCTCCTCCTGGTCGTCCTGGGCGCGCTGTCGCTGAACGCCATGGCGCCGCTGTCGCAGATCGGGAACCACATCGACTCGTCCGCCATCGTCCTGATCGTGGCGGGCGCCATCATCTTCATCATCGCCTTCTACGGCTGCTGCGGCGCCGTGCAGGAGAGCAGCTGCATGCTCATCACGGTGAGGACTCGCGGGGATGGTGGTGTGATAACCCCCCCACAATGGTGTCTGATAACGCGTGGTTGTGTTTCTAGTTCGCCGTGCTGCTCCTGGTGATCATCATCGTCGAGGTGATCGCGTGCGTGCTGGCCTTCATGTACAGCTCCCAGGCACAGAGTGAGGTGACCGACGGCATCAGGACCCTGTTCGAGAAGGCGCGCCAGGGCGACGACAGATACGCCAGCGAGGCCGTCGACTACTTCCAGAGCAAGGTAAGTGTGCACCTTCTCGGCGACCACTTCGCTTTCACCTGACCCCTTGGGTTTACTAAACTGAACCCTTTACTGCCTGCCGCAGCTTCAGTGCTGCGGTGCCGACGGTCCCTCGGCCTGGGGCACGGGCCCGCTGACTCTGCGCCCCTCGTGCTGCGGTGGCTCGTCCGTCTGCACCGTCGTCAACGCTTACCCCAACGGCTGCAGGACCGCCATCGCCGACTTCCTCAAGACCAACGGCAAGATCGTGGGCGGAGTGGCTATCGGCGTGGCCGTCGTGGAGGTGAGTAGTGGGGCCGTTCACAAACCACGTGGACACTGGGGGGGGGGGTCGGTGTACAAATATTATGGGGTACCAAACGGATCAGGTCGTTGGAGGCTAAAGAGGCCCTATGATATTTTTACCCCGGGATACAAATATCATGGGGTCTCCTTGGACTTCAATGACCGTCCAGATCCTTTTAGGACTCCAAAATATTCGGATTGTGGGAGCGATGCGTTCGGCTAAGGAGCGAACAGCGTAGCGAACCATTTTATTGCCATTATCATTGTGAGTAGATTTTGAGAAACTTTTCTGTCGCAGCTGGTTGGAGTGTGGTTCGCGTTGGGTCTGGCTGGAGCCATCAAGAAGGCGGAGCGCGGCGGGCAGCGAGGATACTAGACAAAGCTCCTCGCTTTTGGTTTATGAACTTGACTGGCTCTCAAGATGATCAAAAGACGTGTCGTGCAAGTGTCGTGTGTTGTTAACTACCGTACTTTTTAGGCTATTTATGTTTTTAAATTTTTTCTTTTTGCCTTTACCTCTTTTCATTCCTGATGACTTTTTAAAAATAATGAACTTTATAATAAAACTATCATTCCCGCCGACCTTATGAAATTAGGGGATGTGCGTATTGCTAATGCAAGCCCAAAGAACGTTTTGTACAGTTACCGGTATGGACAGTCCGTCCGCTGTATCCTTTAGTGGGATTCGCCACTTTTATTGCCTGAAGTTAAACTTAAAAGAAATACCTTAAGTTTTTGTATAATTTTATTATAGATATTATTAAATTAAAATTTTAAAATATTAGCCTTGTCTATGATCTCATTTGCTAAGTCCTCTACAAATTCAAAATACAATCCGAGCTCCTGGAACAGATGGACACCATGCCCTGCTCACCTACTTTTTTTTTGTTGTCCGACTGGCCTTCTATCACCCAATTTTGTCAGGTGTTCCGGCCAGCCACTTACTCAGCAGCCGGTAGAGGGGGCGGGAGGGGGAACTCCCAAGCGTTACGCTGCTGGGTGGTGGTGGCGTGTGGCCAGCTCAGCTTGGAGTTTGGAGTGCGTTCGAGCGCGCGACGAAAACATGTGACTCTTTCGGACGTTAAGTCCCCCCCCCCCTTCCCTTCCTTTTCCGATGGGACGTATACGAGGCCAACGAAGGCCGCCCGGGACGCCCGCGGCGCCATGCCCGTCCCGTCCGTGCACATGTGCGTCCTTGGCGTTATATCCCCAAGTCCCCGGCGAGAGAGAACCTCTTCATTTCGATCTGTCGAAAATTTGGAGTTAGTGCGCCGGTCCGGGTGGATAGAGCAGAGCAGCCCGCTAACCGACCTATGGTTCTTTGCTCACCCTGCTCAGTCTCGAGGCCGATCGCCAGACTCCGGAAGCGATTCCAGAAGAGGCCAATATAATGATCCTCCTGCGCCCCTCCCTGCCTCCCTGACGCGTCAAGCACAATCTTGCCCGAGGCCTCCGTGTTTGGGTGCCCTCCCCCTGTCAGTCCACCTTCACCATTCGAAAAATATGCTGAGACGGCGCTATAGATTTTCGTTAGCTATCCATATTGCTGGGAAACTGTTTCGCTTCTCTAAATTGAGCCACGCGGTGTTCCGATCCGAACGCCCGTTCCGTAGTGCCCGTTGGTACTGCCGCCACGCCCCACCACGGCCAAGGCCAGGCACCACGCAGCAGTGCTCTCGGTCACGTTTCCACCGTCGTCGTTCGCCGATGTGGAGCCCGACTTGTGTGGCGCGGCGGAGCTTCTAGTGAGGGGGTCTTTTAGGGCACAACATTTTACGAGATGACTCAAACTCAAGGGTACATCTGTTCTGTCCTTGAGCTCTAAACTGTGCGTGTGAACATTTGTCGGCGGCGCGCGCGGCATGTCGCCTAGCCACGCCCTTACACCCCACCCAACCACCCCACACTCCGTACCCCGCCCCACCCCACCCCACCTCGTTTCGCTGTTTGCCTGCCTTTTGGGGCTATCTCGTGCGTCGCACTCTCCTGTCCGAGTGGAAGTAGTGATTGTTCCCGTGCAGTATAGGCGACATCCTTTGCTTCGTTTGTGCATATTGCTCACGTGTTCATGAAAGTTGCAAACTGGGCCCGTCCCTTGGGCCCCGATTTGTTTTTGTGCAGTATAACATCGGTTTCTCATCCTCATTTCCAGCTATGCGGCCTCCTCCTGGTCGTCCTGGGCGCGCTGTCGCTGAACGCCATGGCGCCGCTGTCGCAGATCGGGAACCACATCGACTCGTCCGCCATCGTCCTGATCGTGGCGGGCGCCATCATCTTCATCATCGCCTTCTACGGCTGCTGCGGCGCCGTGCAGGAGAGCAGCTGCATGCTCATCACGGTGAGGACTCGCGGGGATGGTGGTGTGATAACCCCCCCACAATGGTGTCTGATAACGCGTGGTTGTGTTTCTAGTTCGCCGTGCTGCTCCTGGTGATCATCATCGTCGAGGTGATCGCGTGCGTGCTGGCCTTCATGTACAGCTCCCAGGCACAGAGTGAGGTGACCGACGGCATCAGGACCCTGTTCGAGAAGGCGCGCCAGGGCGACGACAGATACGCCAGCGAGGCCGTCGACTACTTCCAGAGCAAGGTAAGTGTGCACCTTCTCGGCGACCACTTCGCTTTCACCTGACCCCTTGGGTTTACTAAACTGAACCCTTTACTGCCTGCCGCAGCTTCAGTGCTGCGGTGCCGACGGTCCCTCGGCCTGGGGCACGGGCCCGCTGACTCTGCGCCCCTCGTGCTGCGGTGGCTCGTCCGTCTGCACCGTCGTCAACGCTTACCCCAACGGCTGCAGGACCGCCATCGCCGACTTCCTCAAGACCAACGGCAAGATCGTGGGCGGAGTGGCTATCGGCGTGGCCGTCGTGGAGGTGAGTAGTGGGGCCGTTCACAAACCACGTGGACACTGGGGGGGGTCGGTGTACAAATATTATGGGGTACCAAACGGATCAGGTCGTTGGAGGCTAAAGAGGCCCTATGATATTTTTACCCCGGGATACAAATATCATGGGGTCTCCTTGGACTTCAATGACCGTCCAGATCCTTTTAGGACTCCAAAATATTCGGATTGTGGGAGCGATGCGTTCGGCTAAGGAGCGAACAGCGTAGCGAACCATTTTATTGCCATTATCATTGTGAGTAGATTTTGAGAAACTTTTCTGTCGCAGCTGGTTGGAGTGTGGTTCGCGTTGGGTCTGGCTGGAGCCATCAAGAAGGCGGAGCGCGGCGGGCAGCGAGGATACTAGACAAAGCTCCTCGCTTTTGGTTTATGAACTTGACTGGCTCTCAAGATGATCAAAAGACGTGTCGTGCAAGTGTCGTGTGTTGTTAACTACCGTACTTTTTAGGCTATTTATGTTTTTAAATTTTTTCTTTTTGCCTTTACCTCTTTTCATTCCTGATGACTTTTTAAAAATAATGAACTTTATAATAAAACTATCATTCCCGCCGACCTTATGAAATTAGGGGATGTGCGTATTGCTAATGCAAGCCCAAAGAACGTTTTGTACAGTTACCGGTATGGACAGTCCGTCCGCTGTATCCTTTAGTGGGATTCGCCACTTTTATTGCCTGAAGTTAAACTTAAAAGAAATACCTTAAGTTTTTGTATAATTTTATTATAGATATTATTAAATTAAAATTTTAAAATATTAGCCTTGTCTATGATCTCATTTGCTAAGTCCTCTACAAATTCAAAATACAATCCGAGCTCCTGGAACAGATGGACACCATGCCCTGCTCACCTACTTTTTTTTTGTTGTCCGACTGGCCTTCTATCACCCAATTTTGTCAGGTGTTCCGGCCAGCCACTTACTCAGCAGCCGGTAGAGGGGGCGGGAGGGGGAACTCCCAAGCGTTACGCTGCTGGGTGGTGGTGGCGTGTGGCCAGCTCAGCTTGGAGTTTGGAGTGCGTTCGAGCGCGCGACGAAAACATGTGACTCTTTCGGACGTTAAGTCCCCCCCCCCCTTCCCTTCCTTTTCCGATGGGACGTATACGAGGCCAACGAAGGCCGCTCGGGACGCCCGCGGCGCCATGCCCGTCCCGTCCATGCACATGTGCGTCCTTGGCGTTATATCCCCAAGTCCCCGGCGAGAGAGAGAACCTCTTCATTTCGATCTGTCGCAAATTTGGAGTTAGCGCGCCGGTCCGGGTGGATAGAGCAGAGCAGCCCGCCAACCGACCTATGGTTTTTTGCTCACCCTGCTCAGTCTCGAGGCCGATCGCCAGACTCCGGAAGCGATTCCAGAAGAGGCCAATATAATGATCCTCCTGCGCCCCTCCCTGACGCGAGGGAACGTCGGGCGTCAAACACAATCTTGCCCGAGGCCTCCGTGTTTGGGTGGGCTTCCCTTTACACACAGCTGCTTGGCGGGCTGGCCTACCCGGCGTGAAGCAGGCGCCCTCATCGGCGTTGCCTCGACGGCTCGAAAAACTTTCTTGGTGGGGACACCTTTTGCTACCTTCACGTTGCTCCACGCAGGCCACTGTTTCTTTAAAATTCGTTTAACTTTCACCAATCTCCTGTTTAACCTGAAAACGTTGCGGGCTCCGCGCCTCCCCGTGGCTGCTGCTGACTTCACTCGCGACTCGAGCGCACGGTCGGAAGACCCGGAAGGAAGTCGGGCTGGTTGGCACGCCCGGGCACGCCCTCCCGAGGAGCTTGGCCGGCCAGTGGTACCTGGAGTGACCCGTACGGTGACTGGAGCTCGGGTCATGGGCGCGGGACAAGGTCGTGAGAGTGTGTTCTGCGACTGGTTCCGACGCTGGGCCTTGTCCTTCTCGCTCCTTGCTGTTGTTGTTGTCTGGCATAGGCTGGCGAGAACTGGTGCTGCTCGCTGGCTATCATACTCCATAGGTAGGCGTCCCCGTCCCCGGGCGTCGATTTGGGGCAAGCTCGGGCAAGCCTCACAATGCAAAGTCTGCGAAATGAAGGTTGCCGACCCCCCCTAGTTACAACGGTACCGGCGGTTTGGCCTTTGGAGCTTCTTTACTTATTCAGCAACAGGCGCGTTGGCGAAACTTGCCAGGCTAGCCTAGGGCACTGATTTGGAAAAAAAACAAACAAAAAAAACTTAAAAGCAGTTGTTACGAGCAGAGCGCGGGAGTTATTTCCGAATTTCCGTGAGCAGAGAGTCGTCACCACCACGGCTGAGATCTGCTCGTTCTACTGGTCGCACGTCACGACCGGCGCTGACAGTCGAGTGATGTCACCAACACATTCGTGTAGAAAGATTGGTAAAAAAAGATTGGTAAAAAGGTCAAAAGCATGAAGAGCAAAGTACCTTAAATATTTTGTAAGAGGCAATATATTTTGGTACAAATGACAGCAGAATGAAAGTACCACAATTTTCATGACGGGGAGATGTCAATGCCTACAAAAAGAGCATCATAATAATGACAATATATCACAACTGCCCGAAAACGTCAGAAGTATGATAAATTTACACATGAGAGCATGAATAGAACCCAGTGTTGAAAAATAAGTTTTGGTTTTGTAATGAAATTGCATACAGCACTTAGCACTTACACCATTTACATGACGAAATTTCCCACAAGTCCCAATCACAGCCACAATTATTTTCACATTTTCTTCAATTACAAGTCTACATGGTCCTATGTCCCCTCATTTCCAACAAAAAGTATAAAGCTCTATAATTTTAAAAAATAAGTTGTCACCATGTGTGTGAGTTCAGAACTGTGCTTAAATGTAAGAAACTATCTAATGATGCTTTTTGTTTAAAAAAATATTCAAGCAAGGTCGGCTACACAGCATTATAATAAACATAGTGGGTAGGTGAGAACTACCACTCACAATGCAGAGAGAAACCACATCAATGTTCATAAAAACTAATCCTACTGCATTAAATTTATACTATACAAGTAGAGTAATAGCAACTAGTTGCTGTTGGTATATTTTTGGGAGACAACCTGCTTGCCAAAAATCAAATTGCTGTTTTAATTTATTCAACAAATTAATTTTGAGTTAGCTTCAATAAGCACAATACCTATTAACAAAAATAATAGATAGGCCTACAATTGAAGAGGAAGCTGGCTTTTGTTGATTGTTAATCTCACAATCAAATCGAATTGACCTGACAAACTTACAATGTGGGACTTCACCAACCCATAATACTCACTTATAGGAAACAACTTGCAACACAGTACCTCTGCTTCATAATAAGACTGATATGACATCACAGATAAAGAAAAATTCTTTTTGATTACATGAAAAAAATTTAACTTATTTTTTCAGTAAAGAGAAGAGTACTTGGCAGCAACTCAAAAATATTATGTTTACTTGTAATGATAAATTACCGTAATATGTGAAACAGTAGAGGTCAAGTTGATAGTCTATTCAAAGATACGAAATAAGAATGCCTACAAAGAAAGTCGTCAACTCTTAAGTCTGATGTGAAACCAGTAACTGTGTAGCTGCAGTAGTATTTACTCCATAAGCTGGACAAGGTATTTGCCTACACACTTATACTTAAAATTTATCACAAAGAATGCTTCTATTTGCAGACAATATATTTCCTTTGGCACTAAGTAGGCAATACTCCATAAAGACACTTGGAAAATAACATCAATTGTTAGAGTTTTCTTATCTTACTTAAAAGTAATTTTGAAGTGATACAAATGAGTAAAATACTGGACAAAACAGATCATATTTTCCAATCAAATATGAAATTACTACTATATAACAAATGATCTTATAGAAAATGTTTCTGACAACTAAATCAAGAGAGGATTTAAGTGATGTGCTAATTTTCAAATCAATCTTTAGCTCTAACATCTGACCACACATTTGGGAAAGAGTAATGCTCACTGCTAAAACAATCGTCAAAATGGGTAAAATATTAAAAATATTAATGGATTCCTTTTCCAACGTCTCTGGCTGTAGATTTGGAATGTACTGATTATTCATGTGGTCTACAACATGAAAATTAAACATATGAGAGCTTGCTTTAGAAATCTCAATCCATTTTGTCATTAACTAAGTAGGTAGGGTTTTGGCTCAAACAACAAATAATACTAGCATGCACCCACACCAACCTTATGATAAGTCTTCATGAGAAGTCCTCAGACATAAATTAAGAAGACTCAAGTCAAGTGAGTGAAACATTTTCAGTTTCACAAGATGAGACCGGCTCATAGTTAAGCTTGATTAGTTTTTGAATCCAAGCTTTACAAAAATGGCAGCTCCTGGACGTTGGCTTGGTCACCTTTCCAGAAGCCGCTGTCGTCCCTAGGTGTTATTCTGCTTGTTGGAGCGCAGTCTAGCAAGACCAGACCTCTCTTCTTCTTCATCACTTGTGTAAGAGGACATTCCAGCGACAGCACCACAGCGTGAGGAAGTCGCCTGAATAAGTTCCTGATCTGGCCCAGCTCTATCTTCATACAAAAACAGATGTAAAGTTTCCTCAAATATTCTTGCCTCAGGGAACTCAACCTAAAAGAAGTCAAAACATTTCAAGATGTATTTATTCTCCAAATCATATATTAACAAATCCCAACAAAATTCTTAAATATGGACCACTCTTACCTTTGTGTGCTTTTTATCAGTGGCATACACAATGGATGTACAGCAAACCTCTGCAACTTTCTTGCCATGGCCATAGAAAGACCAACAGCATATCTCACTAGACCCAATAACATCTTTGATAAACATTAGTCTCATACTATATCTCAGAGAGAGCTTGTCAAATAATTCAATGTTTTTCAGAAGATTGTCATCAGAGGTGCTAAAATCATAAGAGTGAAGTGTTAATAATATTAAGTTTATTGATAGCAGCAGACATGCTTTGTAATTATGGAATGAAACAATTCTTACCTAGTGTATGAGTACTTATTATTATGTCTATTAATTAGAAGTTTTACAATTGGCTGAAATAGGAGAAAAACAAATATTAGTAACCTACTACTTAAGGGTGGGTGGTATACTCTGACAGTTCAGTATGATAAACAGAACAACTAGAAATTACTTGATTCATCATCTCATCTCACCTTGGTGGTGGAATTGATAAGAAGTTGCTCTTCTTTCTGCGATGTGATCAGAGCTACTCTACAGATGGGCTCCGCTTCTCTCTGTTTTTTCTGCAATGCACGCTCACAGCTTTCAGCAAGGTCTGATATACAATAATATTTTGCCTCGGCCAAGAGTTCAGCTGTTTCTTTCACAGATTCTGGGAGAGGAATACATCCATCACGAAGGAAATTTAGAATTGATCCAAAATGATTTCCGCATCTGTCGATGAGAATCCAGCCTGAAAAATATGGCATAAGTAAGAAAGTACAACTAAGAAAATTTCTTCAAAATAAAAACATTTAACATAATCGATAAAAAGATATAGTCAAACCTACCTTCAGAGTCAGTGAGGACTTCCATTCGACCACTGAACATGGCCCGCAACATAGTGTCATGTTTGGTTAGGGTCCCAATAGTTGTATAGTGTAGGGACCCACCAATGTTTAATTTGACATACTGAGATGGGCTCCCTCTCAAGACCCTTCCAACGCGATCACCCGACATTGTCGAGCAATCTAGAATACTTGGGTCCTCAATTTTAAGAGTTTTTAGGCCAAACTTCAGGAGAATATAGTCATGTATCCGATTTCAGCCGATGGAAAAGGTCTGATTCTCATGCAAACATAATCCTCAATAACAATATTTTCTACAAACAAAATGGAAACAGTATTTCATAAAAATTAAAAAGCACAGATATTTAACAGAAATTAAAGTTCTCGGTCGGTAGATAACATTTACACCCTGCATCACCTCAGTTTGCGTTTTCGGCCGTTAGCAGACGACGGTAGAAAACCTGAACCCTGAACCTCGTGGGATAGCACACAAATCCATTACTAGTGATTTTGGCAATATTTGTTTTCCAAATAATCTATCAAATTCACATTTTCAAAAATTGGGAGAAAACTATGTGATTGAACTGAACAAGTATTTCTTGTCTTACTCGTACAAAATTTTCGTCGTTAAGTTGGTAAAGCTTTTGGTACAGTACTGTTTTTGGGTGGGCTGAGGTTGGATGTGTTTATAGCTGCATTTTATTTTTATTCCGTTTAAGATTCTGATGAGAATATGTAGTTGACAAACGAGAGATGTAATTTAGTGTGAGACACGACTGAAAAAAAAATCTTTATGTGTAGGTATTTGGTGCTTTAACTTTTAATCATCATTTTCTTCTGCTCAAGAGGTTATGAATTTTGTTTGTTTATGGTGAGAAAAATTGGTTTTAGTTTTCATACCAAATAATGAATAATGCATGACAGTGTTACTTGTCCTTTGGTACATTCTCTTATCTACTTGTAGCTTTTAAACCTAAACCCCTCTTTGTCTACAGTTCATGTCCATCATTCAAATAATCGGTAACAAGAATGGATTCCAACGGCCCTAAGCAAATGTGTTGTGATCCCTGTGCCAAATATTTATCTTATTTGAAATGTATCGAAGGCAATGGCGTATATGTCTCTGGTATGTATAAACAAGTGGCAACTGTTAGTCTTCCTTTTTTTCTCCACAGTAGTTTAATAAGTTTGTCTTTGGATTTTTTTCATTTGCAGATATACCTTTTCGAGTGTCAGAGGAAGAACTCTACCATGAATTCAGTCGCTATGGTCAAATAGCAGATTTTTACTTTGCTGACAGCAAGACATATTGTCTTGTTAATTATGAAGAGAGGTATAATTATTGCATTCTATTTTCTGTTAGTCTGTTAAAAGAAAAATTCATGTTGAAATTTAATGCAAATCATGAAATTTTAATGCAGAAGAGCAGCAGATGACGTTCTCATGTATCCAGTGAGAATTTTTGGAAGAGAAGTAAGAATCAGACCACGATTCACATCTCCAGCTGGTAATATTGATTGTGTCGGCATAGGACATTATACTTCTGTAATAATTCTTGGTAAAATAATCCATTATTTTTCATCAATTTTTATCAAGTTATCTAAATTTTCAGATGAAGAAAAGAGAGCAGCACTGTCTCATGTCCCTGAGCAACATGACGAGATTTGGAAATCAATTCCACAAGATAGAGATTTTAAGGACCAAGTAAGAACAAGCTAAGCTTTGGCTTTTGCTTTAATATCTATCTAGGTTTTGAATTTCTTTTGTCTGATGTAACTATGAATTAGGTTGCAGAATTTCTTAAGGCAGTGCAACCAGACGATGATTCCTCTAGGAAGCCATATGAAGTGTGTAAAGACATTGAAAACGCTCTGAAACACCTGTCGGTAACTTACAAAATCATACCTTTTGGGTCATCTATAAATGGTCTTGCTTTGAAGGACTCTGATTTAGATATCTTTTATGGCAGAGGTAATCTAATGGTTGTAATAACCAAATATTCAGTTACTTGTTACAAAATATAACATTCATCCATCTACCATCTATCTATTTTGTTCCAGAGCCTCAATGCAGAGGTGCAGAAGTTCTTGATGTCTTTAGAAAAGTTAAAAATGTTTTAGAAAAGGTGAAGATTATAGAGTCAATGAGACCAATTCCAAATGCAAGAGTGCCCATCATCAAGTTCATCCATACGGCCACTGGACTTAATTGTGATCTTTCCTTTAAAAATGCAATGGGAGTACAAAACAGCAAGTTGCTCAGATTTATAGGTTCTTTGGATGAAAGAATTAAGCAGTTTTTCATTATTGTCAAATATTGGGCCAAACTTCATCATCTTACTGGAAGACGCCTTTCTAATTATGCGCTCACATTACTTATTATAAATTTTCTTCAGTCACTTAATGAACCTATACTTCCTCCTCTTCATGAATTGCAACATGCCGGAGTGGCCCCTATAAACATTGGTGATTGGAATACCAACTTTGATGACAGTATCACCAGATTGAGACCAATTTCAAATGATCTTCCAATTGAGGAACTTTTAAGTCGTTTCTTTGAAAGTGTAGTGCAAACAGATTTTGCAAATTATGTTGTGAGCCCATATCTTGGTTCCCTTATTCACAGGGATGTGTTTCATCAAATGGTTAAATTACCTAAAGAGTTGAAAAACTACATCTACCATTTGAATGTAGGGAGGTCACGCCTGTCGGTTTGTATTGTGTATTTCCAGCTCATTGCTGTACTCACATCTTGTAATCAAGCTCAAACTAATGTCTACTACTTCTTTACATTTTCAGATACAATCACCTCTTTGTATTCAGGATCCTTTTGAATTAAATCTGAATGTTTCAAAGAATGTTCCAATCCATGACTTTAAGTGTTTAAGAGAACATTGTGCAGTGGCATCACGGCTGAGCTTTACATCGCCTCCCCACTTATTTCTTTCAAAACTTCTCTCAACCTCCTACAAATATCCATCACGGAATGAAAATACAAAGGGATGGCTTCCCAATCCCATGCATGTTCGTCCACTGAAGGGATACATGACGTTTCATGTTCCTCGCCCTGATAATGTGACTGATGAGATTATATGGATGAATAATGTGACACAAAGGATAACTTTAATTTTCAAGAAAATACTAAAAATTCATGTGGACAATTCCACTTTGGTAAATATGCTCATCTTCCTCCTAAAATTACGTTATCAGGTTTTTCACACTTTCTCATGTTTAACTTATTTCTTCATCAGAAAAACGATACAAAACCAGGTGGTGACCAGAATCTAGAATGCAAGGGGTCACAAGTATTATGGTTAGAGAGGAATAAACTATGGGGTAAATGGCACTCCAAATTGTCTGCTGTTTCAGACAGTTCTGGGAGTGGTGGTAGTGGTGGAATTGAGGTAAGATTTGGAGTCAGTAAATTTTTAAAAAATCTTTTAAATCTGCATTATTGGCATATTCCTGACAGTTAATTTTATCGTACCTTTTCAGGTTGTGCTTGTTTCAGATGAAACTCAAAGTACCAGCTTAGAGATTCAGCCAGAAAAGAGGAAGCGTGAAGAAGAGGAATCAACAGAAAGTAACAAAAGGGTTAAACTAAGTAGTGATGAAAACCAACAAGGGTCAACACATGATGATTTAGATGTAATTGATCTTGGCAGTGAAGACACAGTAGTAACTAAAGAGGCAGCTTTATTTTCTAGAAGTCTTCATGATGAAATCAGCTTAACAAATGAAATGGTTTGTGAAGGCTATTAAGGTATTTATGCTCTTAATGACTTTTTTCACTATTTTTACTTGGGTTTTCTATCATCAATTTCTAGGTGAAAAAAGGACATGCTTTACCCGCTTCTCATGTCATACTGGATTTTACATGTAAGATTTGCAGAAGCAGCAGTAATATCCGAATTGAAATCTCTGACCACAGATCTCGTGTCAACTACTTTCCCTCTCTCTGTCTGTTTTTGGAAGACTTCCTAGGCAAGCATATTACTGAGGCAGAAAATCCATAGTTCTAGGGTTATATATGGTGCTGATGTATTACTAGTGTATGCCAATTGACTTATATTTATTTTTTGTTATCTTGACAAATTATTTTCCTATACTCAAATCATGTTTATTGTTGCAAGAAAAGTAAAATTTATATGTTAAGTGATAGTGATTTCAATATCTAGGGAAGTACATGAAGACACACCCATGTATAGATTTAAGTAATTTTTCTTTAATAAAATATAAAAATAACAATGTATATGTTTTGATAAAAAATATTGTAATATGGAACTCATTGTCTAGGAAACTATCCTTTGGCAGTAAGTTTCTTTCCACTTTCAGCAATCTGTAACATTTCTCCAATATTAACTATCTTCTCACGAGGTTTACCCAGTGCCTTACCACGTTTTGTTTCTTCCTGGTCAATTTTTTCCCAGCCATCAAAAGATACAGTTTGCACACCTGATAAAAAAGTAAAATAATCAGGGGAAAATTATTGCCAAGAACAATAAAATAAAAGCAAACTAAACGCAAGCAGCGCACCTCGGGCATCTAACTTGGAGAGTATAGCTCTAAGACCTGGCTTTTTCTCATTTAAATTGATGATGTCTTGTCGAATGTCATCAACAACATTAGCTCCAGTTTCAAATGCATTTGACATCGTTGATAGGATCACTCCTACAGGACCAGTGGATAACCATCCAGCACTGTAGACACCTAAAAAATTTTAGCACCACAAGTGTCAGCTAAGTATACATAAATCTCAAAGATAAATTTAAAAATATTGATGAAGGATGCTAGAGAGAAATTACCATGGTCTACTCGCCCCTTTGTATTGATAACCCTTCCTTTCTGTTTATCAAATGGGATTCCGGGATCAGCACAAACACTACGATACCCTATACTACGTAAAACCAGTCCAGACTTTATGGATTCTTTCACTCCAGTTGAAATAGCTGTTTGGTGTTCAAACTCCTCTCCTTGTAAAGTATTGAGATCAAATTCAACTCCTGTAACCTTAGAGTCACCCGTAAATGAGAGAGGACTCCGCAGAAATAACGGTCGAAATGTTTTAGAAGATGGTTTGGGATTTGTTTCTAAAGCGCTTTTCACAAGAAGTTCTGTCAGCCTTTTTCTTGGCCGAACCAAATCTGTAATATAGCATAAAATTATAGCATTGACTTCAAACACTTTAAGAGAAATTCTATGACATATTAAAAGTATACACACTTGGGATAAGTTCTGGAATTCCTTGAAAATGCTCTTTTTCAAATATTGATGAGCAATCCTTCAGATTTATCATTTCTCGTAGCTCTTTAATTGTAAATGCCACTTGCATCGGACCACGTCGACCAACTAAATACACAGTTTTGACCTTACTATCAGCCAACGTTGCTAAGGCATGTTCAGTTATGTCTGTTTTCTGAAAATAAAATTAATTGTTTTGATTTAGAAAATGTACATAATTATTTCTTAGTGCAAAACAATGATTTCAAAAGTCCATTACCCTCAATTCATCTAGGGGCGACAGAAGCATTCTTGCAGCATCTACTGCTACATTACCCTGGCCAAGGATGACAACATTTTCATCACTTAAATCAACATTCAGGTCTTTATCTCGGGGTAGTCCATTGTACCAACCAACAAATTCCCTTGCTGAAATTATGTTTTTTAAGTTTTCTCCAGGAATTCCAAATGTTTTATCTTCCTCAGCTCCATACGTCTAGATTTAAAAAAACAAACAGATTATAACTTACATTATTTTTACTTAGCATCATATCAGAGCGGGTTGCATACCAAAATTACAGCATGGTAGGCTTCTTTTAGTTCTTGAAGACTCAAATCTATACCAAAGTTTACATTCCCAGCAAATCTAACTTGAGGAGACTTTGCTGTCTTGGTAAAAGTATTTATTACATTTTTTACCTCAGGGTGATCAGGAGCAACCCCGAAACGTACCAAACCAAATGGTACAGGAAGACGTTCAAGAATATCAATTTCACATTCAGGAAAAGTCTGAAAATACAAAGTTGTAGATTTTTTTTGCAGCTATTGACAGGTTCCTTTCATTTTCATTTTTACAAGAAATATTGCAAACTCAGTAGGTGTACCTTGATGATATGCTGAGCAGTGTAAAAGGCAGCAGGACCCCCACCAACAATACAAAGTTTTGCTACTTGACTTTGAGTAGAGGAGGTCATAAAAGTTCTGACACTTCTCTGTATTGAGAGACTACAATATCGGATCATTTTAAAAGTAGGGTGACGCTTAATCTTTAACAATACTATGCTTGAAAAATGGGTTATTTAACTAAATGTATGCAGATCGAAGCAGCAGCAACTCCGGGATGCGGGAAATAGACATCCAAGTCAACGTTATCTACCATAAGATAATTATCTGCACTTGAGCGATAGAAAAGTAATCACTCTAGAATCTGATGAAGCCGTATACCAAAGTGACAACAAAATGTCATTTTGATGTCACAACATCACCTTGACAGAAAAGAGGTCAGAAGTCGAGTCGTCACACTGATGTCAAGGGATAGTATTTTGATGGCTGAATGACATTATTTTATTTCTCTGTGTATATTGAATAGGGTTCCAAATCAGTAATTGGCGCATAGAATCGCCTCCGAGGTATGTCACTTTAAAACGTGCGCTAAGTCAAAAGTCAAGAGTGGACCCATAGGGGAGTCAAAGCAAAGTGTTCGGGTTCGGAGGTCTCCGAAGCGAACCGAACCCGAACCGAAGTCGAGCCGATGTCGGCACCACTATTCACAGTCAAGTTCCCCCACCACGCCCACGACCGTCTTTGTTCACAGAACAGAGAACGGAAAACAGAACAAGAACAAGAACAACGCCGCCATCGCCATTTTGTGATCCCTTTCGTGCCTTTGCGTGCTGGCCTCTGAGATAGATAGAGTGATGGTGTCCCTCTCTGTGTCAAGCCGATTGTGTTGATAGTTTTTTGGTAATTACCGTGTTTCTTCATTTTTTGGATCAGATCTTTTTCGCACTCACTCTGGTTATTCGGTTTTGGAAGTCGTGGTAATTTTTCTTTGCCGAAAGGCTTCCGTACGCAGGACCCACTGCCTCAGCGACCAGAGGTAGCGGCAGGACCAGACCAAGCTACCATGAAGCGAGAAAATGAGAGTAAGTGTTTTTCTATTGTTTTCAATATTGTTTCAATCAATAATTTAATCATTTTCGTGATTAGTTTTTCAATCAATATCCAATACATCTATGCAAACATTTTTAATGCTGGAGGTTAGGTCCGTCCTGTCCGTCCTAGTCAATGGTCTAATAGGTTAAAGGCCACATTTGTTCGTTATCTTGATATCTGAGTCCTATTACTAATATTACTCTCAAAATTCCCAGAAAACCATGTTTAAATAATGTAGTTTCTAAAATGCATCTTATTTAAAAAAAAACTAAATCTATTTTACTAGTATCGGCTGTTACTTGATGTGCGCAGGATTTTGTTCATGCATAGGCTATTCATATACTGAAATTTCTTTCTATAATTTATTCACGGATTTCTACCCTCTCTTTTCTGATGTAACGTCTATTAGTAATTTGCTTGGTCTCTTGTGTATTCCGCAGGTGCCGAGTCCCGGGAAGAGCGAAGAAAAAAGCGAAAATCTCGCTGGGGTGGAGATGAGAAGGAAAAAATCTTCATTCCTGGAATGCCAACTGTGTTACCCACAAATTTAACCAAAGAACAAGAGGAAGCTTATTTAGGTATGTAGATTTTCAAATTGTTGCTTTTTGTTTATAAGATTATGGGATAGTATTAATACATTTTCCCCCATCTAATATCAAGGCTCACACTTCTTAAAATTAGTTCTTTTTAGCTGTGCAAGACTTAGTTTATAAATGCCATTCTTCCTCTTGTTACAGCACCTAATAAAGTGCTTTTTTCTGCAGCCATTTAATTGATTTTTATTATGTTTTAAAGTGCAAATTTATGTGAGAAGTGTATAAATTTTGGTGTTGCAATTGTTTCAGACCAGTGTTAACCTTGCTCCTTTAATTAAAATTTATAAATTGCTTCAGCCTTAAATTGGCAGTTGTTATTTTGACAGGTATTAATCTATCTATCTAATCTTTGTAAATGGCATTTCTAGCGGTTTAATCCCTCCAGTACATCTCAAGTGCCACTCAGTATGCATGGTCACTAAGACCTCTTTAAATGATCCAAATTCTAAATTTGCCCTTTTTAAATCGTCAGTAGTTCTTTTTATCTATTTTCTTTTGTCTCCCCTTAGTTTTTAAATCTCCTGTTACAAAATTGTGTGGGGTTCTCTATTTTCCCTTAGGGACTTGTTAATTTTTGAAACTTACTACAGTTTAATTTTTCTGCTTATTTAACAAAACCTCTTGTGTTTTGAACCTGTTGTCTTGATATGCCATTGATTTAACAATACCTTGTTAAGTTGGTCTCTGTTCTAATTGGTGGGCTCTGTGCCCTTCTCTAACCCCTTTGTATTCCAGTGCAACTGCAGATTGAAGAGGTTAGCCGGAAGCTGCGCACCGGAGAACTGGGGATCGCTTCCAATCCAGAGGAAAGGTGTGCTAAACTATCACTACCTAATCTACCGTATTGTGTTGAGCCAGGAGAAGCAGGCCCAGCATCTCTGCCTGCTGATTGGTTTGCCTTAGATTTTGGTCTTCATTTAACATTTTTTTCTTCTTTTTGCAAGATTTAGGAACCTAAGTAATAATTTTCAGGTTTCGTGTCAAGGCAGATACATTAACTGTTTAATTCTGACACATATTAATGTGAAATTAATCATTACAATTCTTCAGTCTTAGCTCTTCTAATTTAATTTTCTATCTGGGTATTAAGATGTGTGCAGGATCAAATAAATTAATTCTGAGTTTAAGTTTTGAATTGAGGCTGTGGTGCATTCACTGCAAATTGATCACATCTAAATCTAATTAATTTATGATGAAAACATCTGTCATTTAAAGAGAGAACTCTGTAAAATTAGCATCTAAGGCCATTCCAAAATAGTAATATTTTGTCTGTGGGTGCTCTCTCAAGCCTCTCACTGGTTGAAGCTTAGCCTGGTGGGGAGTTATCTATCTAATCCTATTTGCTGCGTCTTCAGAAGTGAAAGAAAATTTATTGGTAGGTTAATCATTCTTATTATCAGCAAAAATGTAAGGGCCACCAGGAAAGTATAGGAGTGCTGTACCTGGAGACTTAATTTATTGAAAAAGATGATCTTCCATTTTATTCTTCACTGACATGCTTTTAGCTCAAGGATTCATCAGTAAGGTGGCAGTTTTGGCTGTTATATGATTTAATTAATGATTCCATCCAAAACTTACAAACAATCCAGCTTGACCTTAATCATTCTTTGTTTTCTCCACTTAATTGCTTTTGTCCTTAATGAAAACATAATTTGAATGGCACAGAAATACAGTTATGTGTTTGTAAATTCCTTTCTCTCAAATGCAAAGCTCATATGTTTTCTGTCTTCAAAGTAGACCACAAGTTAACTTATGAAGCCCTTAGATCATGAAGTTTTTCCTCCAGTTTTTTCATGGGATGGTGGTCTATACCTGACGATTTCAATGTTCTTATAATTGCATAGTTATTTGATTATTTGTTTTTAAATCTCTATAGTCAAAATTACTAATTATTTTTTAATTAATGAATCCTTTTAAATTTGGCATTGATTCATATTTTTATTTGTAACTTACCATTGCCATAATTTGTTAGCTGGTTTAAATAAATTAGATTCCTTCGTAGTATGACAAGTTGTTGGCATCTGGTGTAATGTCCTTAGTTGTAATGAGAAGGACTTTGTTGTCTCAGATCACCATCTCCAGAGCCAATATACAGCAGTGATGGAAAGAGACTTAACACCCGAGAGTACCGCACGCGGAAGAAGCTGGAGGATGAAAGACATCAACTCATCCAAAAGATGATGGATTTAAACCCAGAATTCAAGCCACCGCCAGACTATAAGTAAGTTCACTCACCTGCTTGTTGTGTAAAGAGATATCTGAGTAGATTTTCAGTCTAATCTTTTGGTTTCTCTTAGGCCTCCTGTGGTGAGAGTAAGTGACAAAGTGATGATACCACAAGATGAACATCCTGACATCAACTTTGTTGGGTTGTTAATTGGTCCTCGTGGTAATACACTAAAATGTAAGTGGTCATCTTTATTTTAGTATTTTAAGCTTCTGTAATCTGGTATTCTAATAATCGACATTTTTTTCAGCCATGGAAAGGGAAACTGGAGCTAAGATCATAATTCGTGGCAAAGGATCAGTCAAAGAGGGAAAAGTTGGGCGCAAAGATGGGCAGCCTTTACCTGGTGAAGATGAACCATTGCATGCCTATGTGACTGCAAGCCACCCGGAATCCGTGAAAAAAGCAGTGGATAGAGTAAGTTGCAACAGCATGCATCATCTAAAAAAGTTTTTAACCCCAGATTTATTTGAATGTGCTCCGTGTCCCTTTTCCAGATTAAAGAAATAATTCGTCAAGGTGTTGAAGTTCCTGAAGGCCAAAATGACCTCCGCCGCATGCAGTTGCGAGAGCTGGCTCTGCTTAACGGAACGCTGAGGGAGAATGATGGACCACGCTGCACCAACTGTGGTGCTACAGACCATAAATCATGGATGGTGAGTCCTTCTAATTCATCTTTTACTTCCATAGGCTGCTCTCTGTGTTGAAATAATTTTTCTAACAAGTTTAATTTTGTTTTCAGTGCCCTGATAAACCTAACGTCACCAACAATATTGTATGTTCTGCTTGCGGAGGTGTCGGTCATATTGCTCGTGATTGTCGACAAAAGAGGGCAGGAAGTGAAGGAAGTAGCCGGTCTTCAAACCAAGATAAAGCCAAAATTGATGAAGAGGTAGGCTGCATCTGCATTTAGCTCCAATGTTTCAGGGAGGAGACAGCACTCGAGGATGCTAAGATTATTTTTTTATTTGCAGTACATGTCCCTGATGGCGGAACTGGGAGAGGGCCCCCCTCCAAGTCGAGAAAAGGACAATTACCGACGTTCATCAAACAACAGTTCGAACTCCGCGAGGCTTTTCGAACAGCAGATGCAGCCGAGGCCTATCATGGCTCCCCCTCCACCCACGGTCATGCAGACTCCGCCCCAGCTCATCCCAAATTCTCTACCCCCGCCGCCGTGGAGTCAACCACAGGTCCCCGGCATGCAGGGTATCGGTCTGCCTGGTGTGCCTGGCGCTGACAAAGTGTCTGTACCGTCGCCCGCTGCCCAAGCCCTACCTCAGCCTGCGCCTCCCGGCATGGACTCGATGCCCAACATGACCCGCCCGCCCCCACCGGCCTCCAATGTAATGCAGGTGCCCCCTCCCTGGCAGATGCCCAGTGTGCCGCCCCCCAACCTCCTCCAGGCGCCGCCGCCGCCCCCCCCCGCCCCCGCCAGCCAGTCCCCACAGACCACCCCCAGCATTCCGCCCCTGCTCCCCTGGCTGTCCTCCGCCCAGCCGCCGCCTCCGGCCACGACGCAAAGCATCGCGAGGCCGCCGCCCACCAACGTGCCGCCCCCGGGCATCCCCCCTTGGCAACAGCAGCCCCCGGGTCCACCGCCCGCCATGGGTGGCCCGGGTCCAGTACCGCCCCCCGCCGGTCGGCCCCCGCCGCCCCCTGCTGCACAAGCTGCCATGAGTGGCATGTACCCCTGGCAGTCTGGGGGCTACATGGGAGTTCCTCCTCCTCAACCCGTGCAACCACCCCCAGCGCTAGGCAATTTGCCTAACCTGCTGGCTGCCCCCCCGCCACCCCCTCCAAGTTAAAAGCTAATAATCAATTGGAGAAAAACCTCTAAAGAGAGATTTAATTTTATTCTTAAACTCATGCCCAAGAAACTTGATTTCTTCACATTTGTTCATCGTATGTAATTTGTGTGTGTTTGTATCTGAAAATAGACTTTTCGTTATGACTTACAAATTACAAATTGTGAAAGATAATAGCACTTTTTGTATGTAATTTGATTTTTTGGGATGTTGATTTCCATGCTTGAAGACTGTGAATTCCTTGACCAGACATGGAGTACTTTAGTTTTAAGTTTGCTATTGAAAAAAAAAATGTTCTGCAATCATAAATTTAATTGACATCACATTTTTTTTTTAAATCTGCTTTTTCATTTAATTAATGAAGCAATTGTCAATGAGATACGATCAACGATTTTTGAAGTTCTGAGAAGTCTATTCTTACAACTCGACTTTTGTATGAGAATTCTTCCTTTCTTATTAGCCAATGTGGTTCGCCTGTAGCCTTAATAGCTCAGCAGTGACATAATATTAAAAATATGAGTGACTGAAATCTAGTAATGAAAGAAATATTCAATTGTTATTAAATTTATGCTTTAGTCTCTTGTTGTTACCTGCCTGATGGGTAAAATTATGTGTGTTAAATAATACTGCAACCTAGCAAATTTCTGCTGTACAAAGTATGATTGGTACGCATTCGCTGTGTACAGCTACGATGAAAATAAATTTTAAAGGACTCTAAAACGTGTTATTTTTTAATAACTGACTTTTTTTATTTTATAAAGTTAATAATTTAACCATGGGTTAACTTACGAAGCCGAATGTAAATCCTCCGAACGGCCTGACTGGTCACGGGTGTACATGTAAAAATATTACCATAATTACGGTTCGAGTTCGCGCCTTATTTGAAACGCGCGCGCTTTTCGCTCTTTGATCAACACACCCATTCAATCTCCCAACCGCCACTTAATTTAGCGACTTTGTAACAAAGATTTATTACAATTAAATATTCTCTCGGAGACTAACAACGTTAGATATGCCGGAATCATCTTCCACGAGGTGCGGCAACTGAAGTTTTAAGTACCAATTTCATGAAATGGAAGTTACACTCGGCTCGCCGCCATTTCGTGTCAGGCTGATCAAACTACAGATTCTCCCCTTGTTTACGTTATGTTGGGATGGATGCGTGAGCAGTCAACTGAGCTGAAAGGCAGCCATCTTGCAAACTGCAAAGTAGTATTTTGAAAACTAGGATCTGATGACAGTATTGTGATGATTGTTTTAATTTTAGTCGACCTTAAGTCGTTTCGAAGCTGTGGTTGAGTGTTTAAAGTGTGGCGCCTACGTAGTAGAAAGGTACAGAGGTAAGTGACACCACAAAAGTAGCCTAACAAGAGTTATTAGTGGCCCCCGATGCGAGGCCTAGGGTGTGATAGGCCTATGATTGCTGGGCTACCCGAGGAGATAATTGAATGTTATCTCTTTATCGCCGGTCGGAACTAAACTCTAATGTAAAAGAGTGGATTTTGTCAAGCACACAAATTTGTTTGTAAGCAATCTAAAGAAAGCCGCAGGATTTTCCGGTGTTACAGCCATTGTTTAAGTGTGGTTAGAGGGAAACAAGTACGAAATCCGCCGTTCGGCGTTTTTGGTCGCTTTTATCTTGTCCATTCGTTGTTTCGTAAACAAATAGACGATTTGAGGCAAAAATTTCGAGTATTTCCCTTGAGGTGGCTGCTGCCTTTGCTCTTGTTCGTATTTTTTGTATGTCGTGGAATGAGGGGATGTGCGTTTCTCCCACTCATCGATCAGCGAGCCGAGTCCTCATTGACTGTATGTAAACATGCAACATTTATTAGAGTACAGTGCTCTGGTCTCAGGGACGCCTCTCCCATTCTGAAACATTTATCAGTCCTATGTTGAATGACTTCATTCAGCGGCACGCTCGATTCGCGCGATGAATTAGTGATGTGGGCTGTCCCACTCATTACTCCAGTTGGGTTAGTTTTGTAAACTCTAAAGAAACATTCACGTCCTGTCAGTCATGATGGTAACTCTAAATTTTTTCCTAAAACATTTACGACTTAACAGTTGTATTTGTGTCAACCCATGTTGTGATATATCTTACATTAAATTATGGAGGCTTCTGCGTGGACAATTTTCAATATTCTCTAACCTTTTGAATAAGTATAATCATTTAGTATGCTCAAGCATTTTCCTAATATATTTCCTAATCTTGCTGTTTTTGTTGCTGTTCCTTCCTTTCTTTAAAAAAACAATGTTTGTATACGTTCTTAGTATTATGATTTAATTTACTGTCAACATTTTCTTGTCAATCGAAAGCAATTGAAAGAACGAAGAAACAAAGATTAATTGTATATTTTTCACTCAGTTTTTTCTCTTTGCTTTACAGATATTTTGGAAAAATTCCCAGGCGCTTTGGGCTTCAGAGAAGCCAGCGCCAGAATAATCCTGTCTTTTAAAAGACAATGTAGTTCATGCAACCTAATATGCATTTTAACTCTCCCGTTGGCAAAGCTTAGGCTGTTCGCCTTAAGCTGTTGGGAGGGTCTATATGTATACCCAAGAAATCCTGGAAACTTGTGTGTTCAACTATGAAAGAAGATCATCAAACTCTCTTAAAATGGATTCTATTTGCCATTGGCAAGATCCGCGACCAGAAGCAGAGACCAAATCTGGAGCGGATCAGCCATACAGTCCGCCAGAACTGCAAAGTGTCAGAAAATGCTGTGGAAGAACATTTGGATCTTGCTGTGAAAGAGGGTACTGTTGTCAAACTGATCAACAAGGGCCAGGAAACCTATCGGGATCCTGGTCATATGAAAGCTAGGAAAGTTTTACCAGTTGGCAAAGAATCAGATCTTTCCAAAGTTGTCGTTCGTGCTATCCGTGAACATGATCCAGAAGGCTGCTCCCTCAAAGATATTGAGGATCGACTGCGGAGTACATTCGCCCTTGAAACTGATTTAAGTGATGTGGACTTTAAATCTGTACTACGTCTCTCCCTGAAAAAAGCTCTGGCTCTGGGTCTATTGGTACAGGAAGGAAGGCTCATCAAACTATCACCCAAAAGTTTAGAAGTTTCTAAACTCAAAGGTGACAGAAAATCAGATTCAGGGTCTCCTAAAAAGAAGAGACTGTCTGCAGAAGACCTGCTCAATGAAGATCTACCAAAGGTAAGTTTCCTCTTTAATAGTATATCTGTTTTAGCAACAACGTGGAGAACTCAGTGAATACTATATCTTTGTATTTTAACTTTCTAGACTCACCTTCCAATATGTAGTGAGTGTCTTGGGACTGACAAAAATGCCAATGGGGAGGAGGAGGCGCTCAGCGAATGTGCTGGATGTGGTGCCTGTGTACATCTGTCCTGTGTATCCTTACCAGGTAGTGCCACTACAAATCAATTCATTGCTCTACTATCACAGCCTGGTGCTGCCTGGTATTGTGAAGAATGTAGGACTTGTTGTAAATGTGACAAAGCCAAGGACCAGGTAAGAAAAATATCAACAGTGTTTTAGTTCTCAATCATTTACAGTAAATATTATAAAATGGTTTTCTATCTAACCAGGTCTGTTTACTTGGCTGTGTCAACTGTGATCGAGCGTTCCATATGGGATGTCTGGAACCTCCTGCAGAGCGTAAACCTAAGTGTCCATGGCAATGTAAACATTGTTTTGAAGTGCATAGGAAGAAAGCTGCCATAAATAAACCCTTAGATCATGCTAGTAGGGTTAGGAAGAAGTATTTAAAAGTTCGAGACAAACGGAGTGGTAGGGAGCCTGAAAGGTAAGTTCCACTAACTGCTATAATGCTACATATCATAGTTCCACTTTTACTGGTTTTTTTTTACAGGTTTCCTCTTGATAATTAAATGATTACAGTTTTTGCATGTCTGTGGTTTTTGTTTCAGAACTTTGCGTGTGTCTGGGGATGAAGTAGACTGCTCAAGGCTCTCAGGGTCAGATACTGATTCCGCCATGAGGTCAACCCCAGGTAGGCTCAATCTTAAAACTCCCGCTCGTGGTCTCAGCAAATTCTCAGGGCGCATACCTGTTCGGCCTGCTGTCCTCAAAGGCCACCCTAAAAGCCCGTTGGATTCTCCTAAGAGTCCACTCAAAACCCCCCTTCGGGCTTCTGCAAAGAAGATAGTAAAGAAAATTGCTGTCGACACTCCACAGGAGAGCACTTGTGGCTCAACATCAGAGGAGGGTAATGATCCCTTTCCTAATTTTCCTCTTGCTGCCCCTCGCTCACCTGGTGGTGGCTCTATTAGCGCATCTAAGCAGCTCAAAGAAAAGCGAGGGGATCGCCTTTCTAAGGAAAAGCAAAAGTTTTTCCGTCTGAGTGCCTTCTATAAAACTAAAAAAAGAAATGGTAGCAAAACGAGCGATGGGGTAGCAGATACTTTAGGTTCTTTGAGTAGGAGTTCATCAAGTGACAGCGACAGCAGAAGTAGTAGTAGCAGTGGCAGGCGGTCGCGCAGCAGTAGCTCGTCACATTCCAGTGACTCTGATTCAAACACAAGCACGGTAGTGGTCCATAGGAATAATAGATTAATGGGAGGGATTTCTAAATTTGTGTCGGAGCCAAATGCACATGTCTTTGGGGAGGCTGTCTGTGGATCCACAGGGTCAACATTGGCAAGTCTCAGTCGTATGGAACCTGACTCGGCGGCACCATGGGGCTTTGCAGCAGCAGCTGCTGCTGCCAGGCTATCGTCAGAGGCTTTTCCCAACCCACTTAAGGAAGTTGCTAAGAGTAAGATCTGTGATACATTTGTGAACAATGTCGATTCTGTGATTTCAACTTTGCCGAGAAAATCAAATCATGTTGGCGAAGCTCATGTAACTTCATCTAAGTCCATTGGAAGAAATGGCTCATTCTCTTTGCATTCCTCCAAGCTGCGCAGAAATTATACAAAAATATCAGGCAATTACAAGGGTGGTAGCACAGAAAGTAGTGACTCTGATTCAAGCACTGATGAAACAAGTTGGAACAGCTGTCTGGAATCACTTCAGAACAAGTGTGAGTCAGTTCAAGGCTCAAAAGCTGACTTAAAGAGAGAAATGAAATGTGTAGCATCTAGTAAACATCTGAAGAGCTCTGATCCTGCTGAAAAACCAAGCAGTAGTTCTGACGGTAAAGATGACTCAATTGTCAGTAGTACTTCTTCCAAGGTTAGCTCATCTGGGAGTTTTGAAAGAATGGTTGGCTTTGGTCAGTTGCGTAGTCTCTATGATGGACTGAGTCACTTTTTCACCGCTCCTGCACATAGCAGACGGACATCATCTCAGAATTCTCCTCCAAGTAACTCTCCAGCTAAAGCACCTAAGAAGAGACCTGATCCTGTTGCTATTCACAAGTTTTCTGAAAACAAGAAGCCTAATAATCTTAAGTCAGTCTGGAGAAAGAGCACTTTAATGTCTAAAATTTCAAAGACCAACAAATTGAAATCAAAGCAGAGAGAATTTATTAAGCCAGTGTGCTACCCCACTTGGAGACAAATTACCAAAGCAGCCAACAATGGTGGTATCATTAAAGGAATTCTTGGAGGAAATTCAGGTCATTTAAGTGCAAATACAAAGTGCAAACTCAATGGGAATGATTTGAAAGCATGCAAAAAAGTAAATGGAGTTAAAGAGCTTTCAGGTATGCGTTACCTGTCAGATACCAACTTGCTCCTTAAAAAGCAAAGAGTTGAGCTGTTAGAGAAAATGGCACAGAACTTGCGTGATGAGTGTAACTTGGCTTCTAAGACAGTCGCACTTCAATCAGCTGGCATTTCTCATCAGTGGAATCACATGTCACCCTCTCGCCTAGTAAAAACAGCTGTTGACAGTAAAACACATGAGCAGGAGCAGCGGAGGAGGGTGATGAAAGATGAGTTGCACAACGAGTCACCTCCTGATGAGATAAAACAGAAAAAGAAGCGGTTGATTGCTGAGGCAACTCAGACTCACCACCAATATCAACAAAATCCATTTCTAGTGCCTCAACCACCCACCAACACTGCGTCAGCATGCATGGTGCTGCCTGCAAGTCAACCGGGTAAGAAAACTACCCACCTCTTTTCTTTTGCTTCTCATTGCAAAGCATCAGAACCAGTTTTATTTCTTCCTGCTTGCTACATTCCTAACATCAGGGTGGATACTTCCATCTGTAATATGTCTCAAAGTTTTCATTGTGTCTTCAATTCAATAGCACTCTTCTTCATCTTCAACAGAGTCCATTATAGTGTCTCGCAGACATGCTTGGTTACTCTGGAAGGCAGAGTCTGCACTTGACAGCTACATGTCATTAGTTGCACCTTAGACTTAACTTTGCTTTGGAAGTGGCACATGAGATCTAGTGCCGTAGTTTTTTCATATTGTACGGCCTAGTCCACCTGTGTTCAATTATTGTGGTATTCATTTGCTTTTTCTGAGATCAGTCATACATATTGCGAGTTTTCCAAATTGCCATTCCTCTTTGGCAGACATGGCTGACTTCCGCCAGCTGATCCTATCTTCACTTCAATTATTTTTCTTCCTAATGACCTCACACATTTCTGCACCTAGCAGAAAGTAACCTTCATTACTCCTATTACCCGTGACCCATTCCAAGCATGCGGTGGTGTGTGGTGGAAGTGTTCATAGCAATCAAAGGAGTTGGCGACTTCAGGTTTTCACACTCTTCAGGAAGTCTCTGGTTCAACCAATGTGACTTCATTGGGTGCCTTTTTTAAAGCCACCCTCAGCTTGTGGATTATGGCGACGTAAATGGCACCTTACATTTGACCACTTCCGTGCTTGTTCGTGTGCTCTATACTCTCACTCAAAACTACTTAACTGAAATTTACCACTGCTAAACTGTCCTGCTCCTGCGTTTTATTTTTTAATTTCATTTGATTTGGTTTCCAATATTTGTTTTTTCACTTGGTTAAGCTTTTGCATATTTTAAATGTCAAGATTGTGTTGTGGGAAGTGGTTCAGTTGTGTTTAAATGCTAAATTTAGCAAGATTCTAATGTCAATAAATCTATGGTAACCCTGAAGCCATCAACTGAATGTCCACCAGTTTGTTGGACCGCAGCTAGTACCTGCCTTGTCTAGAATTAATGATAACAGTAGAGTTACAGTATTCGTGAAGTTGAATTTATTTTATATGTGAGCATGCAAATTTTTATGGTTTGCATAAATACTTAAAAAAATACCTAAATATATTTGAAACTTTTTGGATGAACTATGCTCTTTTCTGTCAATATGGCCGCTTAAGGGCAATCATTGTAAACTAAAGAAACTTCTTTATTGATGCGTATCAGTCTATATGTGCATTATACAAATTTTGAACCTTTTTGTGTTTTAAAGGATAAATGCGTGAATTTTCTATGGATTACAGACAGTGAAACCTGTAAAAATTAATACCTCCTCAAAAAGTAACTTTTCTGAGGACCTTATGTAACTTTGCTATATCAAGCTACCTAGTTCTTTAAAATACCTGGATATAACCTACTGAGACCTCGGTCTTAAGGGATTCTAACAATCCGTGTTTCACTGTAATTCCATTTCAGAATGTAGTATTTGTTTTGTTTGTTATACTATGAACTTTTGAGGGGCCATTCGTATTGGAAAAGAGTTTCCTGTCCAGTACTTAAAGCTCACACATTTAGAATTAATACTTGTACACCTTTTGTTTATGTTGCACGTTTCCCAAAGTGAAACTGTTCTGAGAAATTTTAAATTAGTCTAGTGTTAGATGGTCATTTTATGATTGTGTTTTAAATTTTATTTTCTCCCTACTAGCTGTCATGATATGTGATGTATTGTTTTTATATTTTGCATAAAAGAAGGTGGATGTCATGAATAACAAATTCCAAAATTCAAATCTTTCAACGGTCTCCACATTATTCTGTTTAACAGCCACCTTTTTTTTTTTCATTTTTAAAGTTTTTGAGTGCGTGTGTGTCTAGTTTAGCACGTATTGCACGTTCTATTTTAACATCAGTTAAAAATTAACTCTGCATATTTCTTTTGTTGCAGTTGGTCTTACACTGAACCTCACTACCAATCTTCCCCCAGGAGTCACTCAAAAGGATATTGAATTGTTTAAAGCAATGAGAGCGAGGGCAAATTCTGTAAGTGTGTAGTGACTGGTACTTGTATTTATTATTTTGTATGTGAAATATCACTCTGGATATTTTTGTTGTGTTTCAGATGACTCCTACAGTTTCCACAAATGAGGCAATTTTACCTCCAGGGTCACTTCCAAGTCCATCTGGACTTCAGGGTCAAAGATGTCCTGGTGCCATTGAGTTTGGGCAGTATGAAATAGAAACGTGGTATTCTTCCCCCTTTCCCCAAGAATATGCAAGGTAAGTGTTTTTTTGTGTTTTTTTTTTTTTTTTTTTTGTATCTGCTCTTATGAATCTAAATTTTAGGGCAACATGTATTATCCTAAACCTTTTCTAATATCTTTTTGAAATTGAAATTTCTCTACAGGTTACCTAAGCTTTATTTATGTGAATTTTGTCTGAAGTATACCAAAAGCAAGGCAGTATTGGATAGACATCTTGACAAGTGCAGTTGGAGACACCCACCAGCAACTGAAATTTACAGGCACCAAAATATTTCTGTGTTTGAGGTAAGTCTATTTGTTGGTCTTGACAATTTTGTTAAGTTGAAAATTGGCTCACATATTATTTTTGTAATTCTTTAGGTTGATGGAAATGTTAACAAGATCTACTGTCAAAATCTTTGCTTACTAGCAAAATTGTTTTTGGATCACAAGACATTATATTATGATGTAGAACCTTTCCTATTTTATGTTTTAACTAAGAATGACTGCAAAGGGTGCCATTTAGTAGGATATTTTTCCAAAGAAAAACATTGTGCTCAAAAGTACAATGTTTCTTGCATTATGACAATGCCACAATATCAGAAGCAAGGATTTGGCCGATTTCTTATCCACTTCAGCTATCTTTTGTCCAAACAAGAGGGCCAGCCAGGGACACCTGAAAAACCCTTGTCAGACCTAGGCAAAATATCTTATCATGCATATTGGAAGTCAGTAATACTGGAATATTTACATTCACATGAAAATGATATGACAGGTGTAACTAACTTGACATTAGATGCTATCAGCAAAGAAACTGGCATGTATAGTCATGATATAGTTGTGGCTTTCCAATTGTTGGGCATGGTTCATTGGGATGAGAAAGCATCTACTCCCATCATTATTGTTGACTGGAATATCGTCAATCAACATGCTATTCGAGTCGCTAATAGTAAAACTAGAATACCACTTGAGCCTGAGTGCCTTAGGTGGACACCACTTGTTACCAATGTAGCTACACCATTGGGGCTGGTTAAAGAAGAGGATGAAGATTCTGCAGAAGAGGAAATGCCTAGCCTTGATAAATCTGTAAAAACTGAGAAGACTGAAAATGTTCCTGTTAAAGAAGTTAGTGTTTCTGAACATCAACCAGACATATCTAAGAAAAAAGTCAAGGATGATGTTGGTGATCAGGCAGATGTAGAAGACAATATTACGCAAACCCCTGGATTCACTCGGCGTAAAAATGTTCGAACAGCAAAGAATTCATATCAGAGACATTCCACACGTCTTGAAGCTGAGTCAGAACGTGATGCTGATGGTGATGGTGAATCAGATGCTGATGGGTCCCCTGTTAGATCAAGCTCAAAACGAAAACGGGACTTAGAATCTCCAGTAGAAGAAGCGCCTCTTGTAGAAGAGCAGTCACCATCTCAACCAAGCAAAGTACGCAAGATAGGATTGAAGAAGAGAGTGACAACTCACGTCTACACTCCAGGATGTGTTCCAAAGAGTACTCCAAAACAACCTGGTAAATCCCATGTGTCACCTTCTAAGAGCTTATCAAAGGTAAGCATTTTGAACTTTTGATCTGTTTTGTTTGTTTGCTTTTTCCTTCAAATAAACCTTTTAATTTTATTCTGTATGATTATGCTTTTTTGCAGGATGGTGAAGTGAAACCACAGTCTGAATCTCGTATTGGTAGAGAGACACGTGGGGCTGGTAAGTGCAACATATTGTTTTATTTTATCACAAGTTTCTTCTGTGGGATTAATTTATTAAGTTATGATTTTGGTACTGTACTGTACACATCTATAACTTTGAATCTTTCTTCAGGGTCCAAGACACGTGCTTCATTGAATAATCAGGACGACCAGTCTGAATTTAGTGACGACTCGAGAGTAGGACGGCGGGGTTCATTGAGTACTGTACCCAAACCTGTCCCCACCCCTAGCTCTGCTCCTGCTGGAATTAAGAGGGGCAGATGGTCTCAAAGAACCACTAAAACACAAGTTATCAAGTAAGTTTCTTCGGTCTGAAAATAACTTAAAATATCCTTCTCAAAGAGGAAGTTGATTACCCATGCTTTGTTGTGTAATTCCAGATCTGCTGATGAGACTGATGATGGAGATGCACAAATGCCTGAACTAGAGCCAGAGGTTGATCTCTCTCAACAAAATGTGGCAGAAGTAGGTCCTCCTCTTTCACCTCCATCATTACAAGAACAAAGTGATAAGCCTGATGTTCCTGAAGTAGTTGTTCCACCTCGAAGACGAAGAGGTTGGCAAAAGGGTAGACCCCGTAAAGGTCATATCACTAAACGCCAACTACTTTCAAAATCAAGAAGTGAGGCAAGGAAAGCGTATCCTAAGACTACGAAAAATACTTCAGAAACTGCAGAGGAAACAGAAACTAGTCAAGCTGAAGATGAGACGGCAAGCTCCCAAACTGAAACAGAAGCTAAGCAGGGATCTGAGGTTGATCCTGATTCTTCTATGCAACAGGAGGAGGACACGAATGAAGACAAAGAGGAGGTTCAGAAGGATGGGGATATTAATATACCCTCGAGGGAGACTCAGCCAGAGCCTGAAAATCCTATTGCGGTGCAATCAGAAGAGTGTCTCAAAGATAGTCAAAGTGCACCTACTGAAGTACAAGAGGAATCTGAGATTTCTGCTGCTCCTGAAGTTCAGGAACTGAAAAGTGATACTGAGGCATCAAGTAAGACAGAAGATGAGGTTGTATCAGAGACAGTGCATGAAGCCCCTGTAGACAATCTGAATGAATCAGAGTCAAAAGAGTTACCTCAATCTGCATCAGTGTCTGAAGACCAGGCTCAAGAAAGTGTGTTTGAAGAAGGATCTAAGGATTCATCTGAAAATGTGCTTAGAACACCTGTGAAAGTTTGTAGTCCAATGTCATCAGAAGGTCCTGAGCCTGCAGACTCCGTATCTTCTTTATCAGCAACTCCTACTTCTCCTGATACAGCTGATCAATCTATCACTCCCACTAAAGAAGATTTAGAGGAAAAAATTGTACAGATGGAACAAGAAATTGAAAATGAAGGGAAAGACAAACTATTGGAAACAAATAGTACTCTTCCCAAAAAAAGTGCTTTAGACAAATCTGATGATCTCAGTGGATTTGAACCATTAGATAGCAGTCGCGCTATGTCTCCCAAAACTGTAGTCAGTGAAGATGAATCTGCTGACGCTGTTGCCCAAGTTGTTTCATCTAAAGAAGACGAGACAGAGGTAAATTTTTAATTCCATAAAATAAATGTTCTA